GACTGCCAACTCCACTGAGGCCAACTTCTGGCGCATCCTCGACCTCGTCGTTTGGCTTGCTGTAGAGCCAGGAACTCTCACCCTTCCAGGGTCCTGCAAACGAGGGTGGAAGAGCCGTGTCCGGCATGACGTCGCGGATCATGTAGCTCTCACGTCGGCTGTTGTTCCAGGTGATGAGCTGTCCGCGCTGCGCGGCCGACATGGCGTCCGTCCTCTTACACTTGCTGCCGAACTGGATGCCGTCGAACTTGGCGGCGTTGAGGACCCCAGTGAAAGCCTTCTGAGCCACCGTCCGCAACGGCGGAGGATTCTGCTCTAAGTCGGGCGGCGCCACGACGTAGCTGCGATCCACGCTCGAGTAGACCACGCCGTACGCGCACGACGAGAAGGCCGCTCCTGTCTCTTCCATATCCGTCATCTGCTTGACCGGGTCGTTCAACTCGCGCTGTACGGCGCGAACTCGGCCGCCGCGGTGCTTCTGGCGCAAGATCCGCACGAAGCCCACGCGCGGGCGCAGGTGCCTGATGGGCACCAGCATGATGCGGCCTCTCCAGTCGACCACTGCCTTTGCGCCGTCTGGGTAGACCTGCGCGACCTCGCATGGCCCACGCCAACCTGGATCGTCTTTGGAGTCTGGCTCGTGCCAGAGGTCTGCCTTCGCGCCGTCTATGGTATTCGCGCGGTCCTCGGGCTTGATCTTCTGCATCTTGGTGTTCTGGGCCACGGCCGTGCGATCCTCGACGATGCTCTGCAGGATCGCCTCCCTGGCCATCACGCGCAGGCGGAGGGCCACCTCGATGGCGCCTGGATCTGCTCGAGCGCCCCCGCAGCGGCAGAAAGCGCCTCGACCTCGGGATCGTGCAGCTGTCCGGGCCGATAGCCCAGCAAGCCCTGATTGGGCGCGTGGCCGTTGTAGCTCAGCATGCCGTTGGTGGACATCCCGATCTCGCAGACCACCTGGCTCTGCGTCGTGTTCAGGTCAGTCTTCTGAACTGTTGACCACAGCTTCTGAGTTCCCGCGCAAATGATCTCGATCTTTCTCTCTGCGACAGGCGCGGCCGCGTGCTCTTGGGACCCGCCGAAGTCGCGGGTGATGTCGAACTTCTCGCAGAACTAGCCGAAGAAGTCGCAGGTCGTGATGGCGTCCTCCTGGTCGGTGACCAAGTAGATCATCGGGCCGAAGTACCTGACCCAGCTCCTGAAGACCACGGCCATCCACTCGTCGGCTGCGTTGCGTGGAAGCTCTTCCACCAAACACCAGCGGGGACACTCGTCGACTAGGACGATGAAGGTCTGCTCGAATATAGGAAGGCCCGTCTGGACCCTGCAGTTGAAGTGCTCGGCAAGCATAGCCTTCATCTGCGGTCGAGTAAGCTTCCGTTTCCACGTGGCACACTCCTTGTAGCAGCCGACCACAGTGTCGACCAGGTCGAGCACGTCCTTGCCATAGCCCGCCCAGTAACGCATCTTCTTGAGCCCCATACTGGCCGCATGCCAGACCTTGACATGGATACCCATGATGATGGCCTTCTTCTCCTTGACCGAGGCCTTCGGGTCGCGGAGCACCTTCTTAGCTGCCTCGAGATCGAGGCGCGGATCGGTGCGCGTCGGCGGAGCCACAGCCTCAGGAGGCGGCTCGACTGCTGCTGCCGCGGGCGCAGCTGCTGCTGCTGCGGGCCCAGCTGCTGCCGCCGCGGGCGCAGCTGCTGCTGCTGCGGGAGCTCCTTCGGCAGGAGCGGCTGGCGCTGCTGCGCGAGCTGGCGCTGGAGGCGCCGCGGGCACGCCTGGCGCCGCAGCTGGCGCAGCTGGCGCTGCGGCTGGCACCGCACCCGGTCGAGGAGGATGCAGTCCAGGTGGAGGTGCAAGCGCTCCTCCTGCTGCATCAGGAACGCCTCCAGGTGACACGCCTTGGCGCCCCGGCGAAAACCTGCATCCTGCCGCGCGCGCGGCGCCGTAGGCGCATAAGTGCTGTTGGCCAGCTTCTTGTGGGGCCCATGTCGGCACCTCTCGCAGCTCCAGAGGCGCGCGTAGAACAGCGAAGACTCGTCGCCCTCCTTGATGACTCCTGTCCGCAGGTAATCGTGTAGATCATGAAGGATGGCCGTCACCATCGGCCACGGATAGACAGCCGCCGCAACTGTCTCGTTGATGATGGTGTCGGGCAACGAGCCCAGCAACACCGAGTGCTGGCTGCACTTCGAGTCGCCCTGACACTTATGCAGGACGCACTGCAGGGCGATGTTGATCAGATGCAGGAGAGTCGGCTTCTTTACTGGAACTCCTCTGGATGGATCTGCTGCCCCAAGCTGGCATTGATCGAGATGTCCGACCGTGCCCTGTGGAACGATGGACTTGAGCGGCGAGCTCTTGAGGATCACCGAGCTCCTTGGGTTCTCGAGAACGCTTGCCCGTCCATCTCGACGCGTCGTCCGAAGCCGTTGAGCGATCCACTGCAGGTTTGGCCACTCTGCCTGACGTGACGCATGGAGCTTCGAGGCGTCCTTCATGACTGTTGATGCCGACCGCGGTGAGCATCGTGGCGACCAGAACTCTGCCAGGCTGGCTAGGATCTTGTCGATCTTGTCGAGCAGATCTCGATGGGCCCTGCGACGTAAATCCCATCAATAATATCTGAAAGCGCGCGGGAAACTGATCGCCAGGCCTGACACGCATGCGCATAGTGAGAGTCTGCCAGATCCGCTCACGCTCTCGAAGAAGTCCAGATCGTGAAACTCCTTGGATATCTGCTGACACCACTCCTCCGCACTGTCTGGAGTGATGACGATCAGGCCACTGAAGTAGTATAACTCCTCGGGCATGCAAACGCAATACTTATCCGGCTGCTGTCTTTCCTTCTCGCCAATGCCGCTTGGCCAAAGATCTTGAGAGTAGGTCTGACCGGACGCACTCATCCAGCTGGAGGTGAGCTCCTTGTTCTGACGCTGCTTCAGACGTGGAAAACCGTGAGGGTCTGGCGCAAACAGTGCAGCTGCTGCCGGCGAAACTGTTGCTTGATGAACTTCGCGGTCCACTTGACTGCTTAATGCTGGAGCTTCGGTCGGAGGATCTTGAACGAGTCCGATACCTGTCCTTTCGGCCTCTAAGGGTGGCGGACCTTCGATATCCGACTTGTTGATGTTGAACGCCCATTCGATGTTTGCTGAAATTCCTCGCTGGTACATATTGAACCAGTGGGCCTTGAGATCTTTCCAAAGATCTCGTTGTTCCTCAGCAATTTCCAGCGCAGTCTGTTCGAACCTGTCAGTTGGCAAGAAATAGTGATTCGAGTCGGCGTAGAGAATCCGAACCAATGCCGCTTGAGGAGGATCTTCCATTCGTCTGCCACGAGCTGCACTACAAGGTACCAATGCACTGCTGCCATTGAGGAGGACGATTGTCGCATGCACCACAAGCTACCAATGCATTGCAATCCACCATACTTGGCAGAGGCATCGGACCAGGACATGCCGACCCATTGTTGCCGATCAGGTCAGTCGAGAAAGTAGCTCCTGGTAATCCTGGAACTCCAAGGGGCATGGTGCACGCGCGCAGTCCAGGTTCGGGTCTGCCATCGACGCCGGTGAACATGAAAATCGAGGGGCCGAAGTGCACCTCGTTCATGATGCCCATCGGCTCGACGATCTTGTCCAGGTAGACACGCAGCGTGCCGGTGCCCATGAGGGCTGAGGATGCTCCTGTACCTGCTCCTGTATCCTCCTCCTCCTCCTCCTCCTCCTCCTCCTCCTCCTCCTCCTCCTCCTCCTCCTCCTTTTCCTCCTCCTTTTTTCTTCTCCTCCTCCTCCTCCTCCTTCTCCTCTTCCTCCTCCCCCGCCTCCTCCTCCACCTCCTCCTCCTCCTCCTTTTCCTCCTCCTTTTTCTTTTCCTCCTCCTCCTCCTCCTCCTCCTTCTCCTCTTCCTCCCCCCCCGCCTCCTCCTCCACCTCCTCCTCCTCCTGCCCTCGACTCTGGTCACGAGGGAGGTCGTTCGCATGGCTGCGCGGCGAGGACCTCGCATCATCGCGTCCGCGCCTGCGCCCGCGGCGTGCCGAACTCGCCGCCGTCTGCCGATGGCTTCTTGCGTGTGGCCCAGGTGCACGGTTCGGCTGGACTCGGTGTGGAAGGAGGCGGTGCTGGACGAAAGGGCGGGGGCAGAACAGTCCGACGGAAAGTTGGGGAGGGGCGCGGAGGGGAGGGAGGGAGGGGAGGGGAGGGGAGGGGAGGGGAGGGGAGGGAGGAGGAGGAAAGGAGGGAGGGGAAGGGGAGGGGAGGGGAGGGGAGGGGAGGGGAGGGAGGGAGGAAAGTTGGGGAGGGGAGGGGAGGGAGGGAGGGAGGGAGCGAGCGACAGACCGAGCGAGAAAGGCAGAAAGAGAGAGAGGGAGGCCGCGCACGTCAGAGATGCACTGGCAGAGCGTCGGAGGCACCCTTCTATAGCACGCTGCCAGAGGCACAGCTTTGAGACAGTGAGGCGCCGGGCAGAAACGACCATGACAACGACGCCAAAAACTACGAAGCGAGAGGAGGAAAAAGATGTGCCCGAAAGGAGAAGGCGAAGCGAGAGGGCGGATACGCAGGAGGATCCTGCGCACAACCGCCGCGCCTGGCCAGGGCCATCCCGGGTCATGGCACGGTGCACGAGGCCAGGAGGGCTCTATACACTACCCTGAGGCCCAGGGCGGCTGGCCAGGTGGGGCGGTGGGGTGCCGGAGAAGCAGGTGCGCACAAGCGAGGCCGCGAGGGAGACCTCGGGTTAGGTCGGGCGTGTCCCCCTACAGGCGGATTTTGGACGAAAAATGAACATTAGAAAAAAAAAAAAAAAAAAAAAAAAAAAAAAAAAAAAAAAAAAAAAAAAAAAAAAAAAAAAAAAAAAAAAAAAAAAAAAAAAAAAAAAAAAAACCTTACAAAATACCCGAAACCGTCCCCCGATCATGTTCTAATGTTCTTGAGTATTCCTCCTGTAGTAGAGGGACAGGCCCGACTGCAGGCTCGGAGCGGCGCGGCGACCAGCACGGCGACGATGATGACCGGGCTGATGCCGTCGCTGGCCCCAGGCTTGGCGTTCTCGCGGGGCGGGAGAGCTGCCCCCCCTTTCCTCTCCTCTTTCTCTCTCTCTCTCTCTCTCTCTCTCTCTTTCTCTCTTTCTCTCTCTCCTGCTCCTCCTCCTCCTCCTCCTCCTCCTCCACCTCGTCCTCCTCCTCCTCCTCCTCCTCCTCGTCCTCATCCTCGTCCTCCTCCTTTTCCTCCTCCTCGTCCTCCTCCTCGTCCTCCTCCTCCTCCTCCTCGTCCTCCTCCTTTTCCTCCTCCCGCGCGGTGGCAGAACACGAGTCTTCTTGTTTTGCGTCGGCGGCGAGGCGGAGGCAGTCCGCACCAGCGTGGGGCGACTCGAGGCAACCGAATGCGTCGCAACGGGGGGCGTGCGCGGACCTCACGGTAGGCATTTTGGCCCAGAGCGCTGAAGCGACTGGGCCAGACCGAGGTTAGCTAAACTCCTCGGGGGCCAACGCCACGTTGAAAGCGTCGTCTCATTGTATCGTGTGTCCGCACCAGCGTGGGGCGACTCGGGGCAACCGAATGGCAAACTGGCCGGCATGCGAGAGAGGGAGAACGAGGCATGCAGGGCGGCCGCGGAGGACAAGGGGAGGCGGAAGGCACTCAAATGTGGAATTTGGACGCCCGGAATGGGTCTGGGAGACCTGGGCACAATGCCGGACAACAAACATTGTCCAAAACCGGCAGCGGCCGCTGTTGGGCAGACGGCTTGTTGTCTTCAAAGAACAACGTCCACGGCGGCGAGGACAGCGAGACCTGTTCAAAATGAACAGGAACTGCTGTTGGGCATTGCACCCGTTCGTTCCGTACCCATCTCGATCGCCCCGATGAAAAAGTTCCACCCCGAGCGTGCCGGCGCACGCGGTGGAAAAACACGATTGGCGGGTTCGGGCCGTTTTCGGCGCCAGTGGGCGAAAGCTGCTCGGGGTGAGAAGCCAGCCCCTGGGAAGGGATCGAGGCCTCCGTGGGTCCACCCTGCGGAGGAAGGCACGACGTCGGCGGTATGGTGAGCTCGAGGGAGGAGAGGGGAACAAGGGACGCGGGGTACATTGTAGGGGAGAGGAGGTCGAGGATCGAGGTTCGAGGTGAGCGGACGTCTGTCCTTCCTCGGCATCCAAAAGCCTTTGGCAGTCTCCTCCCCACCTCATCCACCCCTCTTCCTCCTCCTCGTCCTCCTCCTCCTCCTCCTCCTCCTCCTCCTCCTCCTCCTCCTGTTCCTGGTCCTCCTCCTCCTGGTCCTC